CACGCACACGCACACGCACACGCACACGCACACGCACACGCACACGCGCGCGCGCGCATGTGCATTCGGCTCACAGACATCGACTTAAACAGTCGCGTACAATAAGTTAAATAAACACCACGTTAACCAAGTATTCAGAAGACTTTTTTCCTCGTCTCATCTCTGATATCACATCCTTCCATGAGAAAGCATTCTTCAGATATCAAATATATCCAACATGTTATATATAATAATTGATATAAATGTATTATCTTGAAAATTATAATTTATTCATGCGTACGTTTCTATTACAATAATAATATAATATAAGAATCAAATATGTCATTAGACTCGTGAAAATGTCAACAAATTAATAAACAGCTATACGAGTCAGGCGCGGTACGTGGTGCGCAAGTAAAAAAATTAATAATTACAGAAGGAACGAATTACAATGTATATAATATACATATACATCTATTCCAACTTGATAAACTGCGCGCCGATTATTTGTCGGACTTGAAACACAGCTATCGTTGGAACATTAATACCCTTCCCTCCCCGGAATAAAATCGACGTGATTTAATTATTTTTTTTTAAACTATAAAGAATTTATTGCGAAAAATGTTACCTCAGCCAGGATTCAAACCTGGAACCTCCCTCATTCCGTGAAGGGCGTCATATACCTCAATAATATAAAAATAATGAGCTACATACCTTATACTTACAGTCTTCGCCACCAGAAACTATAAATCCATTTGTTGGATTCCAGCAAGCAACCAGAGTGAGATTATCATGTGCATGCCACTGAAATTAAATTATACTATTTATCACAAATGTTTTTTCACAAAAAATAAAATCAAGAGAGAGAGAGAGATTTACAGTAAAAAATTTAATTAAATTATTATTACGTCCTGTAAACTCCACGATGTCTTTCTTTCGTAGAAATATAATAAAATTACCTATAAAATAAGAAACAAACGCAAACCATAAATAACGATTGTCGATCAGCAAGCAGATAGGATCCAGAAACATTTACTTCTTTTTATAAAATGAAGAGATCATGAGAAATAGAAACCTTCCAGATGACTTAAATCAAATAAATTAACCCTTTGAGGCCACACTGGGTGGCGGCCACACAGACAAAATTCAGAGCCCGATATTTTTAAAATAGCTTTTATGCAACACGTGCATGGAAAGTGCCCCATTACGCACGCTACGCGTGCATGATAGACCACTTTCCAGGCACTTGCAACATAAAATAGGGAGTGTAAGCCGTGTGTAAAGATGAAAATTCCCGG